TGAACCTATGTCTAAGACCTCCGGATTAGTTAGTGGTGACACCCCATATGTGAACTCTATCATTTAGAGGCTGCCTTCATGGTGAAGAGATGTTAGGGATTGAGAGAATAAGCATGCGCATTTTTCGCATCAAATTGTCCTGACCCCACTGGTCGAGAGTGAGCGATTCATTTTCTCATATTCTCTATACTCTTTACCCCGGTGAGGACCTAGATTGCTTGATCTCAATTCTGATATCTTGAGTTTTGTGCATAAGGTGACTGTCTTGAGTAAGTGGTTGAGTCAAGTCTATGTTGGTTGATGAACAGAAGGGAGACTCCTCATTTACCCGATTTTGCTGCACTCGAATGTCCTCTGTGGTGGTTGTCCAGGTTGTTGTTGAAGTTGTTCATGTGTTGATGTTTGAAAGCCAGTATGATCCCCGTGTTTAGTGCCTATGTGATATGTCCCCAAGGGTTGCATGATTCAGATGTTTCGAGCTTACCTTGTATCTGACTTGGTTTGCTTGGGGACAAGCAAACGGTTAAGTGTGGGGGAATTTGATAGCTTCGTATTTGCACATGTTTTCACTCTTGTTTCCTGACCATTTTAGCTCGAATTTGTTGTTCCTTGGCCTATTTTATGCTAGGTTGTGTTGTTTTGTCGTATTTCAGGTCCTAGCAAGTAAAGAGGTGCAAAGGCGCAAGTTTCGGGTCATTTGGAGGTAAGTTGGCGATTCGAGATGCAAATTACGGGCATCCCCTGCCCATTTACGGGCGTAATTGCTTCTGTCATGCCCGTAAATGCAATGCCGAGCCAAATACCTGAGAATTCATGTCGCAGAGCAAATTACGGGCAAGAGTAAAAGCAACTACAGACGTAATTCCACAAATACTGGCATTAATTGGGTAATTACGATCGTAATTCCTCTCATTAGTGTTAAGTGAAACGCGCGTTTTGGGCAAATTACGGCCAGACCTTGTTTACGACCGTAATTCAGCCCATATTTCGCCCAGAATCGGGTTTTTGAGGCAGATTCGAGCCAAAGGAGGGGGAGTCGATTTTTGGAGCAAAAACAGAGTTTTAGAGAGAGAAACTGTGAAGAACAAACCCTAGGAGCTATTTGGAGTGGATTTCTCACCATTGAAGCCCAGATTGCATCCCTAGGAGTGAAGATCATCATCCCAGAGCAGATTATCCTCATCTCTATGAGTATGACTACTCTGATTCTTGTTTTCCTCTCTCTCTCTCTCTCTATGGAGTAGAACTTTCTCTCACTTGGGTATGAAGAACCCTAGTTCCATGTGTTAGGAATCTTGATTGTAATGACTTGGGATTGTTATACTGATTGATTCTAATAGATTGATGCATGATTTATTGAGTCAATTGAAGTCTGGTCATATTTTCTTGATTTCTGCTGCAACCTGAGATAGATAGAATCTGATTAGGTTGTTAGAGCTTCATCAATCGGTAGTGGTAGATTGGTTATACGAGAGTTAATCGATTTACTACTTTGTACTCGAATCCAATTCCAGTAGTGGAGTTCTGCGTTCATAGCCTCAGCTTTCTATCCCGGTGAAGATTAGTCGTCTGCCGGGTGGTTGGACTGAGAGGGCTTGGTCAGCTTAAGAGATTCCAAGCTACTGTCGGATCTTCCGCAGTTTAATCACCAGTTAATCAACCCAGGTTAATTACAACTGTGACCTAACTAAGAAGCTAGGGGGACTCATTCCCGAGTGACTCTTCCCTTGCTTTCGAAAACTGAACCATTTCCTGCTTTCTTACTGCTTTTAGTTAAACTCACAAGTCACAATCACTCGACTTAGTTTGCTAGATAATAGATATTCACGGAGTAGGCAGTAGATCTAGACTCCGAGTTGACAAATAGAGTTTGCCTGTTACTGCATTTCCGGACTGCAATTACACTTGGTCACAGTTTGGTGTTGTGTTTTAGCGTGTCAACTACTCCATGCTAGGAGAAGGGAAAACATAAGAGAAGAAGGAAAACAATCATGAAGATGCTAGCCTTGCTCCTTGTGTTGAAGAGATCCTCCTTTCGGGGAGGAATCCCCAAATTGTTGCTTGAAGATGAAATCCTAGCTTCTTCTCTTCTTTGGTTCGTCACTTTCTTACTCTTGAAATTTGAAGAAGAATAAGAAGTTTCTCACACTAGGTCTCTCCCCTTTCTCCTTTGGCTCAAACCTCCTTTTATACCCAGATCGGGCTCAAATCATGGTCCTAGTTCACGACTGTGAACTGAAAGCCCGAACCGTGATCTCAAGTCAAAACGCCCCGCATCACTAAGTCGAGTTCACGGTCTTACGACCGTTAACTAACTTGAGTCCAGTGAAATATGCTCTAGATGCCTGGCGGTTCACAGCTAGCGGTTTTAGTTCACGGTCTTAGTGACCGTGAACTCACAGCTCTCACCTTGATCTGCTGTTGCTTCGACTCGAGGGTTGGTTCCACTTGCCATAGTCCGAAAAACACCAAAACGAGGCAGAACCCGACGTAAAACCAAACCTCATGGAGTAAAAATTCCTCAAACAACTAAGGAAATTTGGGGTAAAAAGTGTACAATTGGGCCCGAATTAGTAGATGTCGATTCACTCTTCAACACCGATCGAAACTCACCTCGCAACCGGCTAGATCAAGTCGCCGACTCGTTTGTTTCTTTCCATCTGTCCTCGTTGCCGGTTCGATCCTCCCTTCCTTGCCTTTCTTGTCGTCGTCTCGAACTGCAACACCAAAGAAGAACGGGAAGGAGCATAAGCAGACAGCCTTGCCGCCGTCGGCTTAGTCTCGGAAAGGTGAAGATAAAGAATAAAAGGAAAAGTGTGGAGGAGGAAGAGAGATTTTCATTATGGAAAGGAAGAAGAGAGACTGGAGCAGTCGTCTCGGGCTGAGATTAAAGGAAGAAGAGAAATTGGAGACAACCAAAGCTCCAACAACAAGGGTAGTTTGGTTATTATGAAAAATTACGAAGTATACAAAATGGACTTACAAACAGTACAAACTAGAATGACAAAACATACAAATAGATATACAAGCATACGAACAATACAAAGTAGATTGATAAACAATACAAAACATAAAAAATGGAAAAACAACCAGGTTGACTTTGGAAGCTTTATCCCTATATAGAGGGGCACCGTCCGAAAGTCAAACCGGTTGTTTTTTAGACATACAAACATTACAAAATAGTTGACAAAAAATAACAAACTAGACTGACAAACCATACAAAATAGAAAAAACACACGGGTTAACTTTGGGCGCTCCATCTCTATATAGAGGAGTTATGTCAAAAAGTGAACTAGATTGTTTATTCTAATTAAAAAATATTACAAACGTGCTTGACCAAAGTAACAAAGCTTACAAACATTACAAAAGAAATCGACAAACATTTCAAAATTACAAAGCTTACAAACATTACAAAACTTACAAACATTACAAAATAAACCGACAAACATTACAAAACATACTAACATTACAAAAAAAAAAAAACACAACTTACAATACAAATCAATAAAATTGTATTACAAATCAATGAATACAAAGTATACAAATCATAACTTAAAATATACAAACTACACTAACAAATATTATAAATCAAAATATATACAAATTAGTCATATAAAGAGTACCAACACAATAGATAAAAATAACAAGCTAGAATGATAAACTGTACAAACCTCATTGATATAAACATTACAAATTGAACTTATAAAAATTACAAAATATGTCGACAAATATCACGAATCCAACACACCCGCAGGAAAATCCTCCTCCGCCGTCTCTGGTCGCCGGAAAGCCTCCTCGGCCGTTGCCGAAAAATATCTCTCCCATTGCATCTGGGCGGAAATTCCCCAATAGTAACCGGCGCACCGGCAGACACTTGCTTGCGTAGGGTTTTTAAATTAATTAATAATTAAAAATTAATAAAACCATGCAATTAATACATTATCCTTCATTAAATTAGATTAATTTGAGCTATTAAATTTTAATGAGATCAAAGGACTAAAATTCACTTACATACCGTTTGGTATAAATGAATTTCATAAGTTTTGAAGAATTCATTTTGAAATGAAACATTTTTGTGTTTGGTATTTAAAAGAATTCATTTTCATTTTTAAATTTTGAATTATGTGGAATTGGAACTAGTTATATCAATTCCGACGAATTGAGATGTAATTTCCAAATGAATTCCACAAGTATTTACTAATTTTAATAGAATGATATAATTATCCTCTTTTATTAACTAAATTACTTATACATATGAATACCAACCACAGGAATTCATTTGACAATGAATTCTACACGACAATTCATTCTATTTTAAAGATTTGGATATAACATACCAAACACAAGATTTCATTTGATAATGAATTCTACATGGTAATTTATTTTACAATGAAATGAATTCTCGATTCATTTGATACCAAACGGTATGTTAGTCATTTCATCTTAGCCATCGGTTCGAGGTTCCAAGTCAACCCAAAGCCTATTAGCAAGGTTGTCAACCCGCGGGTTGACCCGGACCCGGTCAAGCTAGTGGGTCAAGGGTTAATGGGTCAACCGTTTTAGCCCGGTTTGGCCCGGAAATATAGAAAGAGTCATTATATTGTACTTATCCTCATAAATTATATCAAATCTTATCTAACATATGAGTTATAACATATAATATTACACCAAAATAACATATCGTACTTAGATCCAACATATAGTGAAAATTCACACACACTTATATAACATAAATATTCAAATGTTCAAGTTAGTATTCCAAAGATTGAGTTAGGTGAAATGAAAAATTGGAAAATAGGCACATTTCGCAAACTAAAGAAAAAAATGACACAATTTGACCTCCAACCCGGTACCTTATAGCGGTCGGCCCGACGGGTGCGTGCGGCCCGTTTTTCTCATCGGGTCAGGGTCAAATTGGGTCGACCCGTGGGTCAACCCGCGGGTTGACAACCTTGCCTATTAGGAAAAGAAATAATAAAAAAAATTCTTTATTTCGTTGCGGGCAATCCGCTATATAAGCTTCAGCTGTTCATATCGTTTAAGCCTCTTTCGTTTTTTTTGCCTTACGGTCCGGTCCGTCTGAAAATCAAACACTGAAATCCGAAGTGTTCTGCACCCAACAAAAATTCAGAGAAAAAAGAGACGTGAAATGGAGGAGTCTTATGAGTCGTATCCCAGTGAAGAGCAGCAGATCGCCGCCCTTGAAGCCGCTCACGCGACGGCCAATCCCGATCACGGTTGGCAGAAGGTGACCTACGCCAAGAAGCAGCGGAAGCAAAAGCCTCAGACCGCCGCGGATCCCGCCGGCAAAATCAACGGTGTCCTCGTTGGTCACGACAAAGGGAACGTATTTAAGTCCTTGGAGCAGCAATCCGAGGAGCGGCGCCGAAGGATTCTTGAAGCCGAGACAACTCCCAATGCAGCCGCCACCACCGCCAGGGCCGGCAGATCAAGGGATCGATCTGACGACGACAGCGACGATGATGACGACAGCGACGATGCAAGGGTTTCCAAAGAGAATGGCAAGGGCGGCGAGGAGAAGAAGGTGAAGCAGAAGAAGCCTAAGAAGCCCAAGATCACCGTGTCCGAAGCTGCTGCTAAGATCGACGAGTCGGATCTCGCTGCCTTTCTCTTGGATATATCTGTCAGTACTCCTAAAGTGTTCATCTCACATTTTCTTCGGATAGAATTTTGCTTGATCTGATGATATTTGGTGGTATTCTGATTGTGTTGGTGGTCGATTGCATTTTGAATCAAGGCTTCCTACGAGGGGCAGCAGGAGATACAGCTCATGAGATTTGCGGATTACTTTGGGAGGGCTTTCTCGGTTGTAAGTTCGGCCCAGTTCCCATGGGTGAAGTTGTTCCGGGAGAATCCTCTGACCAAAATTGCCGATGTGGGTCATACAGATTCCTCTTACTTTGATTCTGACTTGCAATTCTCTATTAGAATGAATGGTTCTGGGAGCACCGGGATAAAGTTCGAAGCTTTCATCTGTGGTCCTCACGTTGCTGCACTAATCTTGTTTGATTATCAAGGTTAACATGTTGTGTTGCACGTTTCCCAGGTGTTAAATCATTGAGCATATAGATTATGCTTCTTAATCGAGCTTTACCTGTCTCTCTCTCTTTCGTAATTGTTCCCGTTTAGTGTTCTGTTATGACTGAACATTTGTTTGTTTTTTTTTTTTCACCGGGATCTACATTCTGACATTTTGTTCTGTTGGTACATTGTTCTTGCATTCTCTCCAAAAACAATACCAAAAAGTACTGTGAAAAAGGAAGTGTCTTGCCATCGTTTGTGTTTCTAGATTGCTTGCATGATAAGCTTGGATGCTGTAGTTGATATGATACTCTTCTAGGTGATAGCTTATCATCTTCTTTCAGCTTTGCTTTCTCAAATATCAGAAGGGTAACTAACATAGGCTTTCTTGTGCAGGTTCCCTTGTCTTACATTTCAGAACCTGTATTTAAAACATCTATTGACTGGATCTCTCAACATTCAGTTGAGGCACTTGGGTCCTTTCTGCTATGGTGTGTTGATGGTATCCTTGCAGATTTGGCAAGCCAGCAGGGTGGTCCCAAAGCCTCCAAGAAGGGTGGGCAGCAAACATCATCAAAGTCCCAGGTATGTTGAGAGATTTTAAGCTTCCTTTACTTCCTTGCTGTTGCTTGTTAAGCATTTTATACAGATAGATGTCATTACTTTGCTAGGCTTATATGTGAAATAACTTTACAGTTTCATTGCTGTGGCTGAATGGGTTAGGTCCTTCATACTATAAGCTTGCAATTCCTATTTTGTGTCAGAATCTCTTTGCTCTGAAGTGCTAGTTTCTTATCATTTGAAGGCGAAATTGAATTCTTTCAGATACTCATGGGCTTATACATACGTATGTATAAACTCCAATGTCTGAAGTTGTATATTCAATCTGGCTTTGAAAGAAGAGCTGCTTATCCAGTCATTACTGGAGAACAATTACCTGCATTTTTAGGTAGTCTGCCTTTGTATTTTCTTTGACAAAGAACAAGCTCAAATTATGCATGTTTTCAGTTCTTGATTTTGGCCGTATATGGCCTTGGTTGTTTAAGGCATGTATTGGTGAAGAGCAGCACAGGGGCATGGTATAACTATTTGGTTCTAGTTCCATCATATAGGTTCCAATGTGGTCAAGTCTATTCAAATGGAAGAGATGCACATCACTTTTCACTGTGCTTATGATTAAATGGGGAATGTTTCTTTACATAGGGGGTCCTTTCATTGTGTGTTAAATTACAGGTTGCCATCTTTGTGGTTTTGGCAATGGTCTTGCGCCGCAAACCTGACGCTTTGATTAGCATATTGCCAACATTGAAGGAAACTTCAAAGTATCAAGGCCAAGACAAGCTTCCAGTTATTGTATGGATGGTCGCTCAGGTAAGCAGGTCATGCTATTTTAATGTGTTTAAACACTTTGCTGGGTAGCTTGCTTACTCTCTGATCCTTTTGTTTTTATTCTACATAGGCCTCCCAAGCAGATTTGGCTGTGGGGTTGTTCTCATGGGCACATAACCTCTTGGCCATTGTGAGCGGCAAAAATAATAATCCGCAGTCTAGGGATTTAATCTTGCAACTAGTGGAGAAGTATGTCATCTATTGCTAATTTACATCTTGCTCTTTGCTTTGAATTCTTCAATTATGTTGACAAAAATTCTGTATGCAGGATTTTAGCTGCTCCAAAAGCTAGGACAATTTTAGTAAACGGTGCTGTTAGGAGAGGGGAACGTCTGGTTCCACCTTCTGCATTAGAGATGTTGCTGAGGGTTACCTTTCCTACATCTTCCGCTAGAGTAAAGGTGGGTGCTTGCAAAATCCTGTTGCCGGGTTCTGATTCTATTGATATATGAGTTTTTGTCTTCGTTGTAAAGTTTCTCAATCTTCAGCTTGTTGATGATTAGGGGGGTTGCATTTGTGACATTCCTGTAGATATTACCATAAGAAAATTATATTTTCATATGAATCTTGTGATTTTGTGATATTAAGGCTACTATTTTATAGATATTAGTGTGGTTTTAAGATGTTGTTCTTGTTTTCCACCTGTCATTTTGTTATCCAGGCTACAGAGAGGTTTGAAGCAATATATCATACCCTCAAAGAGGTGGCTCTTGCTGGTTCTACTGGAAGTAAGGCTATGAGGCAGGTGGCACAGCAGATATTGACCTTCTCTCTGAAAGCAGCTGGGGAAAGTAAGCATTCTTAGGTTTCCTCGCTTCTATGTTTCTTTTATAGCTAATTTCTGAATCATATGATAAGTTCATAGCTTTTTAGTACGAAAAACTGGTGGACTGAAATCCTTTTGACAGGCAATCAAGAGTTGTCCAAGGAAGCTGCTGGCATTTCCATATGGTGTTTCACCCAGAATCCCGAGTGCTACAAGCAATGGGTGAGTTGTTTATATGTTCCTAGTGTTGGACTTCAACAGTTATGTTTTGTTTTATCTTTGAGGAAATCCTTAATTCTGGGGAAAAACAGGTTAAGGTGTATGAGGACGATTTAAAGGCAAGTGTTGCTGTTCTTAGAGGGATTTCTGAGGGATGGAAGAACTTCTCGGAGAAACTGGCTCCTTTCGATCCTCTCAGGGACGCTGTCAGAGAGTTTAGGCAAAAGGTAGTGATTCATTGTACATCACTTTGTAAAAGTTGGCCACATGGAATTTTCCTTGCATCATCTTCCTGCCAGTGCTTAAAAATTTTGTACTCTTATCTAATTGTAGAATGAGAAAGCAATGGCCAAAGGGCACAACGATGTACTGTACAAGGAAGCAGACAAGTACTGCAAGGGGATACAGAGTAAGCTATCAAGAGGACATGGCTGCTTGAAAGGTATGGCCTTTGTGGTCGTGGCAATGGCTGTTGGAGCTGCCGTCATGTCCCCAAACTTGGAGGATTGGGACTTGAAGAAGCTGTCGGTGTTGATCAACTCTCATTTGTCTTCTTACTAGTGAGCACAAGGATGCCTGCCCTTAAATTATGTGACTAGATCTGAACACCACCAACTGATGGAAAGCATCTCCAAAAGTAGCTTCCGGTTTAAGTTTTGTACCTTTGCTCCCCCGGCTTCCAATACTGAACTGAACGAGAGCAGGTAGAAAGTTTACTTTTCTTTTCCCCCCTTGTGTTTAGAGGACACTGGTTTGGTGTGGGTCACGGTCTTTGTTTCACATAGGTCTATGAGAAAGATAGGGTGGCTGTGTTTATATCAGAGAAGGGGAAATGCAGTTTGGCCAACAGAAGAGGTAATAAAGATGAGGGAAATTTTTAGGGTTTTCGTGTGTCAAATGGATGAATGATATATTTATTTTATTTAATCGGTTAGAGACTTTTAATAAATGAAGTTTTCTTTGTCTTGTGTCCATGCAATGCTGGTGGTTTGTAATCTTCTCCTCTCGTGCGAATGGTGTTTTAGCAGTTATTCTGTCATCTTCTCCAAGCCACGACTGTTTGTCTCTCAAACTTGAGGCTTGGGTTCCATAAGAATAGACATGTTCCGCAAAAGAAACTTGATTGACCCGACGACGCGGTGGGAAGGGATGCTCCAGCTCCATTGTTTGCTCTGTAGCCGAATAAGTCAGCGAGTCGTTAATGTACAACAACAGTACAAGGAAGGGTTCAATGCCAATTGGTTAGACTTATGGTTGTGGTGAGCCAAAAGTCAGCGAGCTGTCCGCGTACGGTCTTCTCAATTCAATACCTTCTTAAAGGCGCAATGAAAGCATTAAGCAAATAGTAACCATATTTGCCCAACTGCACTGCTCATCTGCCCAACTACACGCAGATAAGATAAGTATGCATGCTATGCTATTTCTACCAAACAAAAAGAGGAGATGAATAATGCATAGGAGCTGTGACCCCTCCCTCTCATAACAGAAAATAAATTGACAGAGAAGTGTTATGACAGCAATAACGGCAACAGTAGCAGTAGTTTTACATAGTGTCGGGGGCATGGCCATGGGCAAGCCCCTTGCAACCAGGAACATCGATCCACTCGAGCTGGACGTGAACTTGGCCAGATTCGACATGCTGAAGCTTGAGAACCATGTCCTGGAGTATCTTGCCTTGGTTCCAAGTGATGGGGCTCTCATCAGCGAGGCAGTTCTCCCTGGTGGGCTGAACCCTCTTGACGGCGCAGCCATCGGGGAGGTTTTTCAGCCCCATCCTGTGGGCTTCAACAAAGGGTTTGAGATCTATGTTCACCTCTCCCAATTTGTCGTCAGCTGTCAGTGTGTCCTTGTCAAACACCGTCTGCATCGCCCCATAATTTACACACAGTCAAGCAAATAAGAAGCAAGAAACACTCTATGCAATAAATTCTACCACACAAGTCAGAAGCTCCTTCCACCCTCTTACATTAGTAACTAATTCATGATACTATATGGACTGATTAGGAATATATAACACAGACATGGAGCCCAACTATTGATTATTACATTCTATGCCCTTCCCTTGGGATGTGAAGGAGGAAAGAGTGAGCTTTTTTTTAACTTACAAGCAAGATGGGGAGACTAGGGTCCTTGATGGAAAGAGTGAGCTCTTCATTCCAATCCGGGTTACAGTTATTCTTCACCACCTTAGTCTTCAACTTCTGCATCAACCAGAAACCAAAGTCAATCAATGACATGATTATGAATCTCCAATTTTGAAATCATTGTGCCCCATCTCAAAACATTCAAGATAGACAGAGAAACAAGGCAGCTACTAGCTAGTCTACTACAGCCAAAAGCACGGTTGCTATGACTGGACAAAACGCCTAGAGGAGTTACAGTTAGCATATTATGAAACGATTGAATCGTGTTTAGATACGATTTCACCACAAATTATCCTATCACTATCACTATCACTATCTTTTCGATACAATACAATCCTTGACGAAAAGAGATATTGATGTATTAGTCGGTGGCCCCCTTCCTCCGGCAATTCATTCATCTAAATCCAAAGAATTGGTTCATTGATGAAATGAGGGCCGATAAAAATCTACCAGATCGAGTTTGTTTTGTATTTTGGGTCCAGAAATGAAATATACAGAAGAAAGGCAGAGATGGGAGGGATGAAGAATGATATATTAGGTAGGGAATGAAGAATGAAGAAACGGTAGAAGCACTGGCCTGGTGGGCAAAGGTGACAACGACGTAGGGGTCGCAGCTGTTACGACCCACATCACGGACGGCGAGGTTTCTTCCCCTCGGGATGCGGACACGGAGCAATCCAAGCATTTCATCCATTTTTCTCTTCACTCTCCACCCTGCCTGCCTTTTCGATTCCTTTCCCTGCCCTAAACCAATGGAGGGAAGAAACTCGGATTGATTTTTTGTTTTGTTTTTGTTGGTGTTGCTTCTCTTACTTTCTACATATGATCACGTTCACAAACAAGAAGGGAATTTGAGGAAAATTGATTGACCCCAGAATGACAGTCATAAGAGAAATGTTATCTTCTTATTCTCTGTTATTTTGTTTGCTTCCGTCCGACTTTCCGTGGGCACGAGTTCGTGTGATTAATCCCAAAATTTTAGGGTAAATACAATTTAATATCCAAACCTTTTATTTTAAACAATATAATAGCCAAACCTTTTCAAAAACAATCTGATATTCAAATCGTCAACTTTTTATCTGTTTGACCGTTAGTTGACACTTCAACTTTTTGTCCTTTTTGTTTGTAAATAAAAAAAAAAAATTTAATTAAAATTTATTGAGTTGGCAGTGACATGGCGGGTTGACCGTTAGTCAACGCGTTTGACCGTCCAAGTTAACGGTCAAAAGTCGGATCTGGCCAAATTATTTATTTTGATGTATAGTTCTGGCCAGGATGTTATAGATCGAAAAGATTGGCCAGGATGTTTATTTTTGTCAAAGTTCAGGCCATACAAAAATATTAACCCTATTAATTATAGATAAGTTAAGGGCAATTAGGAAATTTTATTTCGTTAAAAAATTATATTCCCCATCCTCTACCACCACCCCAATTGCCCATCTCCAAGTCCCACAGCCACCCTTCTTCCCCATTCTCTACAACCACCCCAATCATCGCCGACTCCACACCACCCAAAAACCCCATTTCCATGTCCTTCCCCTCTTCCACCGGTGGGCTCGCATCTTCAGCTAAATCTACTGCACACATTGTTTCGCTACCGTCTCCATCTGATTAGCAACGACAACACCGCCCCTTCCTCCAACTTCACTGCACCCAATGGACTCGCCGATTCTGCTGCTCCCATACACAATTCCAAGGTTTCTCGCGGTTACCCTCAATCTGGCCACTTATCTTTGGCAATCCTTAATTAGGAAATTTTTTGGGTTGGGTGTTTGAATAATAGGGTAAAAAAGCAACTCTTATTTGTTTCTTTAGTAGTTTCAATTGAAAATGATTATTGGAATGATTATTAATGATTTTGTATTGGTTTTCAAAGAAATTCAATTCCTGATCAATGATTTGTTCATTTGTTATTAAGGATTTTCAATATCTGTATTAACGGCTTAATGCAATTTTATAGATGATTCTTAATTTTTATTGAAAGTGAGGCATAAGCCAATGTTTCAAGAGAGAAGTACAAAATCAGCTAAAGTCCGCTGCAAACTCGTAGAAGGAAAGCTAGCTAAAACACAAACCCAGGTGGCACAAAATAGCAGCTCCAGGAACTAAATCAAAACCCCCAAAGAAACATCAACTTCTATTCTGCAGAATATGTCTGGGAAAGCTCACTCCCATAATGTCCTCCCTTAGGATTCTATCCAAATCAGTTGGAGGGTGCGTTAATTCATACATACCAAAGGGATAGACGAGACTGTGCTTCGAAAGCCAGGCCACGTCTCTATTCCCTTCGCGATATGTATGGATTAGACGAACCACCCAAATTTGCAACATCAACCTGCGGATAGCCGTCAACATGGTTGAGTATGGATGTGTTGAGTCGTCACGATTCTTGATTAACTCCAAAGCCACCATCGAATCCGTTTCAAGAATTAGGAATTGAGTTCCTTGACTCCAAGCAAACTCGAGTCCTTGATAAACTCCCACAGTTGTGCTAGCATTGCCGATCGTGTCCCAATTTTGCAGCAAAAGCCACCTAACCAGTCACCTTGCTGTTTCGCAGCACCCCACCTGCTGTTGCCAGCCCTGTTCCACCCTGAATCGCACCATCTTTGTTCATTTTTCTCCAGCCTCTTGGCGCACAGGTCCAGCTTATCAGCTGCTCCTCTAGTTGGGGTCTCTCATTAGTAGCTAAGCCAACACACGCTCTATCCCAAGTCTGCAACCAATCCTTAGCTTTCGTCGTGACGTAGTTGATCAGTGTAGATTCTGTAAGCCTCTTCCCCTGGAATAGGAATTCATTCCTATACTTCCAAATGTACCAGTTTAAAAGGGAGAAGCGACTTGCCCACTAATCTTGATCTTCGTTCATATCAGTCCCTTCCAAATTCATTCGGAACCACTCATCATGGCTGGCTGTGAAGAACCTGCGATGTTTTGCAGTGGAACAACCATGTAACAAATTTTTTGTGAGGCCGAGCAATCCCTCAAGCAATGGATATTGGTCTCGACTTCTTCTTCATCATAGATTGGGCATTTATTGTTCGTTGTCAGATGGAGATATTTTCGCATACTATTGGTTGAGAATCTAACCTTGGTCGCCATCCAGGTGAAGAGTTTAACCCTAGGGATGACAAAAAACCCGAACCCACGGGTACCCTACCCGACCCAATTCGGTGTTTCGGGTTGCGTTCGGGTTTAAACCCATACACTATCCACTGGGTTGGGTTTGGGTTTAGGGATACCTGACCCATGGATACCCGCCCACACTTATTCCGTTGCCCTACTCTCTCCAAACCCTACCCTAATTCTAATTTCCCCAATCTAACTCTCACTACACTTATTCTGTGTGCTTTTATTTAGTGTAATAGTGATATGCTTGAATTTTCTAGATTGGTGTTTTATGTATGGATAATTTGTATGGGGAAATTGATGTTTGAATTTTATTTTGATAGGAACTTGTTATTGTAAATTTTTTATCACAAAAACCTATGGGTAGCCATGAACCCGTGGATACCCAACGGGTTGGGTTGAGTTTGAGTTTCCCAAACCCAGTGAGTTTTACCCCGAGTTTTTTTGACAGATAAGTCCATGGGTTTGGCTTTGGGTTTGGCAAAACCCGAACCAACCAGACCCATTGTCATCCCTATCTAACCCTCTCCGGACAATGTAATTTCCAAATCTTTTTCCATATCGTTGATCGCATTTCTGATTGTGCAGGCGAAGCTATCATGAAGGCTGATTTGGTGCTGAAACGCCCATTAGTCGTGAGCTTCCAGAACATGACATCTTCCTCGCTTGATAGTGGGTCCAAGAGGACTGCCCTGATTCTGTTTGTGATCTCTGGCAGCAAGAAGTCTTCAAACTCCTCGACCTTCCATCCATTGGTGGCCTCCAAGTCGTCACCAATTGTGTTGTCTCTACTGGTCGCCAGTAACTCTATCACAGCAAGTTCCACCTGTGGTTTCTGGAAATGTAGTCAAAATCGCGCTTTAAAACTTACAATTTTAAGTTTCTAGGTCACTAAAACGCTTCTACACAAAATCTCGGTTTTTATAACTTATGTAGTTAAAAACTCCGCTTTAAAACTTAAAAACTTACGATTTTACGCTTCTAGATCACCAAAACGTTTTTAAGTAGAAACCGCTTTAAAACTTAAAAACTTACGATTTTACGCTTCTAGATCACCAAAACGTTTTTAAGTAGAAACTCGCTTTTGACTACATTGGTTCCTGCAAAATCAAAGCATCCATCCAAAACTTAGCTTTCTTCCCATCTTGACGTTAAAGGCTGCACCTTTGCGCAAAAGGTTTGCCGTTTTAACAAAACTGTTCCAAGCAAAAGAACTTCTCTGTCTATTGTCCTTCTCTATTCCTCCCATACGTATTTCTCACCACCTTAGCCCAGCGAGAGGGATCTGTTGTAGCAATCTTCCACGCCCCTTTCGCCAACATAACCTGGTTTGCTACTTTAGTTGGTCTGATCCCTACTCCCCCTTGATCTTTTAGGGTTGTGACTTGTGAGTTGCTCCCGAGACACTTGGTGGAACTTCGTCTTTCCATCTTCCCCCCCCACACAAATTGCCGGTTAATCATGTCAAGAGAATTGCAAACAAAAGCAGGTAATCTTTCTGTAAACATGGGGTATATAGCCATTGAGAATTGCTAGTTTATAGATAATTCTTAATATGTTTATGTTGATAACAATTTCGCTAGGAGCCAAGCAAGCATTGTTAAAGTTTTTTGCTTTCCTTTGGAACGGTATTGTTAATGACTTATGTTATGGTTATTATTCCTAATACTCAATATCATATTTTGTATCATTATTAATGGGTGGATATGAGCGTATCAATGTTGGAGGAAGAAATATTAATAATATGTACGTAGTATGGTTGACGATCATTAGATCCAATTATTATCAATGATTTTGTTTGTATTTTATACAAAACACAACTTATCTATTAATAGTTTTTATATCGTTATCAATATTTTGAGTAGAGAGTTGTTCATAACATGCACTATGTGCATTACCCATTCAGGTGCAATCATTATTAATGATTATTCTTGTATTTTCAACGCCAACTGAACTTAGTTATTAATGATTAAGAGTGTCATTATCAATATTTTGATGTAAACTCTTATAATATTAAGCATTCATAAGTATTATGAAATCGTTAATAATGATGGGTATATACATAATAATTCATTCAAGTCATTGCAAGAGACCATGATTAGCTAGTTATCAATATGACGTGACCCGTAAGGAGCCTCATCTGTTTTGTCACAGTCTTACTGGCCGAAGCCGCCATTGGGTGACAGACCATGGATGTAAGTGACCCGTAAATCAAGGAAGCAGAACAAGAAAGTCGCCCGCAATAGTGCTCATCAGCAAAATCCTCCATTAGTGGCAACTATAGATTTGGGACGAGAGTCAATCAAGACAGGCACAAAAGGAAAGAGATTTACAGTAGGAACAATGACTATCTACCAATCAAAAGAAGAAAGTGACCAGAGAACAGGGCAAAAAAAAGGGAACCCTAGTTCGCAAAAGGAGAAGATGGCGGCATGTGGAGAAACTACTGTTAACGGGCAGAAGAAGAATCTCCCAACACAAGAGTGGAGTGCCACTGACTCCAATAATAATGGCCACGAGTATCAATCAATCGCTTCTTCCTCTAGGTCAAAGCCCAAGATTTCC